ATGGGGCAATCTACTTCCGTAGTGATACTGCCCTGGAAACCCAAGGAGGGGTCGCTATGGGTCAGGTCTGACTCAACGGCACATAACAACAACAACAACTTCTTTGTGCAGCAGGGGTGGTCAACAATCCTAGACTGCCGTTATGGTCTATACAGGGCATAAAGGGTTGAGAAATAAACTAGTGATTAACCAAGTGTAAATATCAAACAAAGAGGTAAAAGAGAAAGCACTGGAGAGAGAATGGACCTTGTGATGACAGCAACACCCACAGGCTTGGAAAACAGCCTACATTCCACTTTGACACAAATAACCTCAAAAGTGGAGTTAAAAATTTGCCTAAAGCGTCTTACTACTTTTTCTAAGGGTTATCCATACCCAAAATTTTTATTACAGTCTAAATGCTTTGAGGATGCAGAATAAAAATCACAAGTACAGTCTCTGAAAGTATATAGAGACTACGAGTGTAGTGTTCGAAGCGTAAATACAATCACATCGAATTAATCTTAGTAATTACATAATGACACCAGGGTGAGGGGGAATTACCTTACAACTGTCATTCTTTGGCACCTTAATAACTATTTATGTTATGAACTAGAGCTCCTTCCTAACTGGCAGGTAATTATCAAAAGCAGTAACCTACTTATCCAAAGACCTGTGAAGTATCACCAATACTTTACCTCCTCTCATTTCAAGGCTATTAGTATATACAGACCTCCTACACACCATCTTGTTGATAAAGCCAATCAGACGGCTAATCAGTTACTAAAATGTAGGGAATAAGCCTGATCTACCAGCCAATATCAAAACTTTAGCAGATGGAAAATCCAAGTATGAGTTTTTTGTGTGCTGAGTCTATCCAGACTAACATAACCCTACAGGACAGAGTGAAACTATCCCATAGCGTTTCCAAGGCTGCAATCTTTACAGAAGTAGACTGCCACATTTTTCTGCCATGGAGCAGTTGATGGGTCCCAACCTTTAGGTAAGCAGTCATGTGTTTAATCATTGCCACCAGTGCTCCATTACAAAATAAGACAGTGTAATATACCAAGCCACACCCCCTCTTATCAATACAGTAGTAGTTCTACAACACAGGATGCACTGAATCAATGCTCCAAAACATAATGTATGAACACACCATATAAATACGTTTAACTTGCTTCATAAAGAATGCTAGCATTTTTTAAATTTTTGCCTGTCTTAAGAATGATAGCCTCTAAATTGGACAGAAGATCTTCAAATTTCTAAAACTATCCATCACATTCCAAACTGTTTCTCTTCTTATCCTTTTGCCAGAAACATTCTAAGCAAAGGGGGAATACTAAATAGGATATCAAGTC